ATTCCAATTTGTATTCCTTCAATTCCCAAAGGCTTGTTCTTTGCCAATGCCTTCAGTGCACCTTGGACTTCTTCTTTCAACACCATTGGCTCTTGATCATGTGCTACCTAATGAAATGGCTGAACATCAATGATTTCTTTGTGGTACAATGACTCTATGTATTCCTTCCATCTTCTTTTGATACTTTCTGCTTGAGATATGTGGGTACTTGCATATAGATGCTGTTGCATATTCTGGAATAGTGAATGTCTAGAATACCCCCAACAAGATGGATGAGCCAGGTGGCATCATTGATGGCGTCGTGTGGCAGCGGTAGTGAGGTTGGCCCAGGATCAGGCATTGTTTCGTTCTGCTGTGCATGGGGTTGCTATGAGTCGGTTCCGACTCAATGGCACCTGACAACAACAACAGAAGATATCTGAGGGCACCAATAACATCTGCTTATGTCATTGGTGATACAACGTTGAATATTACATGGCTCCTACATGGTGTCCTGGTATGGCATTGTGGGTTAATGCACTGGACTGAAAATTAGTTTGAACTGCAAGGTCAGCAGTTCAAGCTCACCAGCCACTCCAGCTACTCTGCTGAAACCCTATACAGGCTTGTATTGGTTGAATTGACTTGACAGCATTTAACAACAACAATAACATACATTGTTTGGTTGAAAATTTGACCACGTGTGTGAGTTCTGCTCCAAACCTGAAGGGCAGCTGGGGGCCATAGCTCAGGGTTCCTTCAGTCTCTTTCAGACCATTAAGGCTATTTTTTTGTTGTTGTTGTTTAAAAAAATAAATTCAATTTTATTCCACATTTTCTACCACTTTGTTAGGACCTTCTAACTGGAACACTTAATTGTGCTCATGAAGAATCTATACATGGAGCGAGAGGCAGTTGTTTGAACAGAACATGGGAACACTGAATGGTTTAAAATTAAGAAAGGTGTGTGACAAGGTTGCATTTTTTTTACCATACTTATTCAACCTGTATGCTAAGCAAATAATCTGAGAAGCTGAGTTATACAAAGAAAAACATGGCATCAGATTGGAGAAGACTCAGTAATAACCTGCAATATGCAGATGATACAACCTTGCTTGCTGAAAGTGAAGAGGACTTAAAATATTTACTGATGAAGATCAAAGA